AGCAAAGGATTACATCAATATTAATAATTGATTTGATTTATAGTAGATTGTCGTTTAATGATCAGAAATACAAATAGAGCTCGGCGAGCTTTTAAGAAAAGTGGATTGGAATTGCATGGTAAAATATTTGTTTTATTTCGTGGTTTAATTAAGAAAATTTGCTTAGCCGAGGAAAAAAGTTTTTGTATATGGTTCAGTATTCGGGCATTTTCCGTAAAAATAAATGGTTTTGGAATTTGTTTAAAATTTAGAAATAATACTAATAGAGTGAATATCTCTTTGGAGGAGTGGTTTACACATTTTTATGTTTCATATGGTTCCTTACTTGCTTATTCTGCAGATTTGTCAGTTTTCAATGAGTGTTTAACTTGGTCTGATGAAATTTTGAATGTAGACATTACGGAATTTGAGTTGAGTTACGTTTTAAGTAAAGCTAAAGTTGGCTCTGCGCCTGGGGTTGATCGTATTCCTTCGGAATTTTGGAGGATGAATTCCGTTTACCCGATGTTACTTAAAAGTTTTGATAGAATCTTGAGATCTTAGGCAGTGCCGAGGGATTGGAGAAGTGCTATTTTATGCCCAGTATACAAAAATGGCTCTAAATCGATTCCCAGTAAAAAAATAGAGGAATTTCTCTGTTAAATTGTGTCTCTAAGATTTTTTTAGTATACTCTATCGTAGGTTGGTAACTTGGTTAAATTTAAATGATATCTTATTTAGGAATCAGGCTAGTTTACGAGAAAAATATTTTACGATAGATAATGTTTTTATTTTGCATACTTTTATTACTAAGATGCCAATGAGAAAAAGGCGTAAAGTATATGCGTTTTTTGTTGATTTCTCTTTAGCTTTTGATACCGTACATAGGAACTTAATGTGGAAAAAACTCTTAAAATATGGTCTTGGGGTTGTGTTTTGAGTCCTGTTTTGTTTAGTTTATATTTAAATGATTTAATTGAACAGATAAATAATTCTGAATATGAAGGTATCGATGTGGATGGCACTAGTGTTAAATATTGGCATATGCGGATGATATAGTTTTGATTGCCGACTCCGTCAGAGGTTTACAAGGATTTATTAATTAATATTTTGGATAAATATTTATTAGAAAATAATATGAGTTTAAGTCTTATAAAATCTAAAATTGTTGTTTTCCGTAATAGAGGTAAACCCCTAAGTTTGATAAATGGTGGTTTAGAAAGGATGTAATACAAGTAGTTTCGCAATATAAATGTCTGGGTGTTGTATTTAAGTATAATGGAAAATATAAATCCCACATTCAGATTTCTAAAAGGAATGCTTTTATTAAAACTGACTGAATTATCTAGACGTGTAGATCGGCTAAAATTACGTAATCTGAGTGATTGTTTAAGGATTTTTAATTTAATTGTTACTTCGTCTTTGTGATATGCTTCTGAGGTATGGGGATATCAATCTGATGATTTAGATCCGGTTTTGGCTATTTTTATTAAGAAGTTATCTGGTTTATTTCGGTGTACCCCAAGATATTTAATTTTTATGAAGTGTTCGCTATTACCTTTTTGCTTTGTAGTATTAAATAAGTGTTTGAATTGGATTTTTAGAACAATGGAATTGGATGAAAAACGTTGAAGTAAAATGTGTTTATATTATATTTTAAATAAGAAGGACTTTATGTAAACCAAAAGTTTAAGAAATATTTGTGTTAATAATGTCATTAATTTTGATGAATTATTAAATAATTATAACTGCTGTCCTTTACTAAAATTAAATTATTTTGGACTTGAATCGGCATGTTAAAGTGAGTTCTTACAATATTTGGTACAAGTATTTAAACAAATCGTTTTTTGACCATTTTGTTTATAATAACAATTTCTCTTATAATATTAGCTCTACGATAATGCAAATTAAATGTAACTCTCTTCATTTTTTAAAGAATTATTGCAGAGATACGGTATTTGCATATATTGCCCAGGTGATCAGTTATTGGATGCGTTTCACATGATAGCTAGGTGTACTAGTTTAGGAAAATTTCGTAAAAGTATTTTTGGTGTCTCCACCATTTTGTTGGAAAAATTTTTGGACCTTATTAAAAATTTACACAATCTCCATTTAACTATTTTTATTCAGAAGGTTAAACTATTAATATTATTTAGGTAATTTTATGTTGATTTATTTTGTTTCAGTGGTCATTTGAGTATAGCTAAGTATATTCTAATTTGTTTTGCATATTGAAGCATTCTATTCTGCCCAGAGGTGGCGTTAGTTTTTCCTTTAAATGTGTTCGTGACTGAGAAATTTTGGGGCTTATCAAAGAAAGAGCCGAGAAGGCTATAATCTCCATATGAAACAGCAATAATAAGAATAAGAAATTTTGGGAAACTATCCGCTGTTTGACGTGATAATTAACTTTTTTATCTTATAGGTGGGTGTAGTCAATTTTTTAATATAATTTGTTTGTTTTTTATTGTTTGGATAGCTCTCCCCACAATTTTTATGTCGACATTTTGTTTAAAATATTATTTCTTAGTGTTGGCATTGTATAATTTGTATTTTATTTATGTATATTCTGCTTTTTTGTTCTTAGTATTAATTAATTCATGAATTGTAATATTACTGTAGTTTTATTGTATATGTAATGATTTTGTTGTATGCATTCCCCGCACCACGGGTTTACGGAAACTTTGCTTAGCCACGGAAGAAAAGTTTTTGTATATAGTACAGTACTCTAGTATTTGTAAAAATAATAGTTTTAACAGTTTTAAATTGATCTCTATTTAAAATGTGGATAAATTATATCGAAAATATAACTATTTTCGCTTTATCCACATCTAATCTGTAATTTAAAACCATTACGTTATTAATTTTTTTTTATAAACCAAATATGCGTTTTCTTTATTAATACATGATATAAAATTTAAAAAAATGTAATTACGAATAAGATTTTTTTACAGAACAGCAGAAAAAAATTACAAAAATGCTTGAAAACGGGCAAACTATCCACTAATCACACAACCTTCTTCAAACTATCCATTAATTACAACTCGAAAGGCGACCGGAAATACATCATACTCACTTGGTTACGTATACCATTACGCACGATAGAATTATTTACAATGCATCTGGGTTTGCGACTATAATGGTTCGACCAATCAACTTAATTGTAACAACTTGTAAACAAAAAAAAAACTGAAAATAGTAGACAATAAAACAAAAATTATCTACTTTACAAAAAAAATTCTTTCTTGTAATGGGAGTATCTCCCATTACAAAACTCTGTTGAAACTGAAGTTGAATCAGGAAGAATTTTCAAACATATCGCAGACTGGGGTGAATGATAATCTTTAAATTAAAAATGAATAAAGACAAATAAACGTCTTTTTTAAAATGTTATGTTTTACTATTTTTCTGTACAGAAATTTCAAAAACTTAGTACAGTAGAGTCTCAAAAACTCGGCACTCGCTAACCCGGCACTCCGGTTAACTCGGCCACACCCTGGCAGGGCAAAAATACCCTTAGTTAATTAATTTTCTTTATAGACAGCTTTATGCCTCATAAAGTATTTTTCTGAGGTCTGTCTTATCAGGTAAATTACTGTACACAGTATTAATTTTCATTTTCATGTAGTAAAGGCTCTATGCCTTCATAAAAAACGTCCTTTTCCTTTGTTTAAGGTTATTTGAGCACTTTATTCTCTGTTGTATTCTCAAGCAAACAATACATACAAGTACAGTACAGTATTTACAGAGTCAAATCAAATGAACTGTTCCATTAGGATCAGTCACACACACACAAATCACTGGTTCATAATTTATATTATTTCACCAATCCATACAGACTGTAATACCCTTTAACTCATCAGCTGATTCATTCTCAATGGAATTGTATACAGTATCCAGCAAGGGTCCCCCAACTTCCTTTTTCTGTGGAGGGTCATTTCCAGGTCGCAACATTTGACAAAATTTTATAAATTCGGGCTGTTCTACATGGTCTGAATTGGTGGCATATATAAAATCTCCGTTTTGGACATAGAATTGCGTTTTTTGATTAGTTGATATTTTTACAATAAATGAATCAATGCGTTGGAATTTCACTTTGCTTTGTGATGCAGTGCCAGTACAAATAGTGGAGCCAGAACTGGTGGAGAAGTGCTTTTCTCTGGTCTCAGACTCAGGCTCTTGACTCTTTGACTAATGCCAATCTAAATACAATTCATAAATATAGAAACAATAAATTAATTACTAATTAGGTGTAAATTTTTATAATTACTACTATATGCAGATGTGTGAAAATTATTAGACTCGAGTATATTTTTATTCGTGTCTCCAACGTTTTTTGATCGCTGTTTTCTGGTTATCCTTGTATTTTTTTAGGCCTGTCTGGTTTGAAATAGGATCCAACCAATAAAATTCATAACACAATGCAGGGTCATATTAACCAAAATTATTTTGTTTAATATGATTTTCCATTGTGTTGTGAATTTTGTACACGAGAGACAGGCTTTTGGCTCACCCCTACCTGCAATGAAATTTCACGTTCATCGTTCTCAGTTTCCTCCAAAAATACTTCAATCTTTGCTATTTTCCGAAATTTCGAAGGTAAAAAGTTTCCCATATTATCAGAACTGTTTTAATTGACAAAAATAATAATAAAACACAATCTTTATTAATATTTTTAGCTTTATCATAAATTTGATCGAACACGTGACACGAACTGGAAATAACAATGATTTGCAAAAATTACAAAATAATTATATATATTATTATATCCTGAGTTGCAAAATAAAGAAAAATCAAAAAGTTTTTACAACAAATAGTTTCTTCATATTGATTTCAATAAAAATAAAAGAAAAGATCAAACTAATTACAAATTTGATTTTCATTACACTAATTTTCTTTTTATAAAATCGTTTTTAACTAATCAGTTTATATTAGTTTTATATTCATAAATTAATCAAATATGATTTTTGTCAATAAAATCTTCTAAAAATTTCATATCTTAGATGATGTNCCTAGACGATGCATTCATAGAATAATTTCGTTGTAGATATCAAATACTGTAATCGAAATATGCACTCTCAGGTATATTGTGACGAAATAACAGGTTTTAACACATTCAATTTAGTGCATTGAGTAGATAAACAGACGTTCTGTCGATGACTGTACACTGAGAGTTTATTAAAAGATTTTCGTGCAATGTATAATTTTGAAGATTGAGTAAAAGCAATGTAAGTAATTTCTTTTTGTACAATTATATGTAAAAGTAAAATCTAGTCGACAAATTTTCTTAGTATTTTTTCCTGTAATTTTATTAATTAGAATGTACTTCAAAAATGTTAATACAGTTGTCCCTTGATAATCCGACAAGTATGGGACCAAAGGTGTGTCAGATTACCAAAAGTGTCCGGATTACCAAAAATAATTACATATTTCGCATTGTTTTGCTAGCAGTAACTTACAGTATTCTCTACTCCAACTGTTCGAACAGAACTGCTCACATAAAACACACGAAATGTGTGTCATCGAGTAAGAATTGGATGAGGAGATTCACATCGCGACATGCTTCTGTGCAAGCAGACACGTAACGGGGACGGGAACCTTGACGGGAAGTGCGTCGGACTACTGAGCTTGTCGGATTAAAAAACGTCGGACTATAGAGGGACAACTGTACTAATAACAAAGTAACTTCTTATGGTAGATTTTTATTGGAATATTGTACTCTGCGCGGTTCTGCATCAGTATCGAGTTAACAAGTGGGCAAAACCACAGATCACTAGTTGTTAAGTTGGTAGCAGGTAGCCTCTCCAACTGTTTTCCGGGATTTTTCTTTTTTTAATATCTAAACAGGGCCAGTTTCCCCATAGAAAATCCTCTCGGGAGGCACCATTCAGAAGGACTTTCGAGGCGATCTGCTAAAAAGGCAGATTGTCCAAGTGTTACGTTGCCTTATTTCATCAATTGTATTACGTACAAGAAATCACGAATCAATTGCGGAATTATCTAAATTTACGACCCTAATACGCCTATCGCTTTCCCACCACCATGTAAGATAAAGACTCTTATGGAGTTTCCTGTACATGATCTAATTTAATTTTAATGCATTAAATTTTATTAATTATACTAAACGAATGAAATAAAATACTGTACATTATATTTATTTTTAACTTTTTTCTAACTAAATGCTTCTTTAGAATTACTTATTTTTATATTTATTTATAAATTGTTATTTATTTCTATTATATTTATCAGAAAATTTAAAAGCCACAAGGTATATGAAGAGGAACTGTTGTGATGAAGGTAGGCACATAAATTCATTTCTGGAAATAAATAAATTGTGATTGAATATAACTCTGTTTTGGTCTGTTTTTAATATACAATACAGCGTTAATTACTGAAGATGATGTGAATGAAGGGGCACTTTATATAATCAAAATTGGAATGTTTGATATCTAATGATCAATAATATTATAAAAGCAATGTTTCGTGATAATTTCAAAAAAATGTTTTTCAATCTTTTCAAAATTTGCATTGTTATGAGATGTTACCGAAGTAAATTCTTTTAAAACTTCAAATTTAAAGCCCTTTTTGAGTATCACGCATTTCCTGACTAAGGCTCGTGAACCGAACATCGTTCTTATGTTGTTCTACACATTTTACTGAGTTCTGTTTTCCTTTCGCTGCCTTACGTTTTCTGCTGAATTCCGTACGCCTTGTATTGTTCCGCATACGGGGGCCGAGTAGATAAAACAATTGAGCGCTTGTAGCTGGTACCGGGTTCGCGCCTTCCCCCGGGTTGGCCGCGAGTTACTCATTTTTTTCACGTGTTTAAATTTGGTTAATCGAGAAGATACTTTAATTTGTTTGTGTATAAATTTATAAATTTCTCGTTTTTCAACTCAAAAAAAATGCGAAGAATCAAACAGTAAATAAAATTAAAATATATAATAAATATATTAAGATCTTTTACTTATTTCATTACTTTTATTAAATTATTAGAACTTCATAATTAGCACTAAATAAAAAATATCATATGAGAATCCAAAATCATGTTCTTCGATATATGTTTATTAATGCTTACTTTGTATGATTAAATTCAAAGATGATTCATATTATTCAATTATTTAATTTTTTTTTATTTCAGATATGAGAAATTGCACATCATTTTGAACATGTCATGTTTTTTAAAGTGTGGTCCCGTGATATGTTTCTCATTATATTTAGGCTGTTTCTTTCTAATTGTTTCGGGTCTATCTATGCTAGCTAAAAGGATAATATTTCCTAATCAAGGGAAAAATTTCCCTTTCCTTACGCTATGTTTTGCTGATGTATTGATTATTTTATACTGTTCTGGAATTGTATTCTCCACATTTGCGGCCTGTATAGGAGACATTGAAGACTGTGACAGCGTTTCCGATAGGAGAAATTCTCAACGAACACTACAAAATTCAGGCTCATCGTTGGAGCTCGTTGATCTTGAATGTAATTTGCCGGAAAATGATGAACCTCCTCCGTATGAAGACCCACCCTCTTACGCTACAGTAGCTTTCGATGAGTTAAAACACGAGGAAGATCAAAAATGTGAGAGACAAAATGTTGCTGGTGACTGTAGTAACTACATTTGATGTATTGCATTTAAATGGAATGATAATTATTATTATATATTATTAACTTTTTTCTCAATGTGTATAAGTTAATTAAAACTGGTTCATATTCAAAAGATTTCACGAAATGTCTTATTGATTTGTTTCGCATTATTCGGAAGTAATATGAATGTAACAAATAAAAAATATGATAAGTAAATTGCAATAAATGATAAGTTGTTTATGGATATCAACTTTTAAAATGCATTTGTATCAAAATATCCTGTCGAAATTAAAAAGCTTTCTCTTCTGTTAAGAGTGTAATGACAATTTTATAACATTGAAATAGTTGATTTAATTGATTTGAAAAGCGTGAAATTTGCTTTAGATTCTCATCATTGCCAATAAACAACTCGTAATCGATATAGGAATCTTCTAAGGATAAAGTCGGAATTTATATGTAATTTTTTTTGCAGTAATAATACAAGTACTTGCAGAAATCTAACTTCAAAATGAGTATATTTAGCAGCTATACGGTACACATTTTCCAACGTACTTTTACTTATTAAAACAGTCTTATAGCTCATTTTGCATTGTTCTGTCTCAGCAAACTTTACGCTTCTTCTGTTTATTAATTATTAAACTAATCGAGTTATTAATTATTAATTGTTCCGCTTATTTAAATCTGTGGCTCTTCGTTAGAGTACGAAAAGTGGCATAAGAATATTTTCAAATTGTCCATCATATCATTCCATTTCCAGAAATCCAATTCTTACGAAATGAGTAGGCTAAAATGTTGAACAGTGTTGTTTAAGATATTCTTAAGTTTATGAATTATACTTTAGAGAAAAGGTAAGAAAAATAAATTTATACACGCAACATCACAGTCAAGTTTTAAATTGTTTTTATTGAAACCATTTATAAACGTTTTACAATGTAAAAATCTACTAAATCAACTAAAAATCAATCAGAAAATCTACTTAATAATTACCTCCATAAAATAAGTATACAATGGAATTCGTACTGTTTATTAAACAGTAAGTTGACCCGAACACTCGCTATTGCAAATACTATATTTCGAAACACACTGTTTCCTATATTAAATTTTGGATTAAATCAAAATAATAGTGAAATTTTCATGTAAATAAGTTCCTCACATCTGTTTTTTGAATGCAAAATTAAATATCTTATTTTTTCAAAACAATTCAATTCACTATTATATTGGAAGACAATGAAATATAAAAACGTTCATAAAATTCCCGATTACTAGGCAACCTTTCGATTCCTCGTAAGGATATTAGCGTATTAATTTCATGGATACTTAGAATATTACATCTTGCCGACGTTTCCTCTAAGATTTCAATGTTGATGAATTGTAAAGTTTAAAAATACTCGAAATTTTGTGAACGTTTTTAACGCTTCGTGTCTTTCGATTAAACTGTGAAATAAAGTACAGTAGAACCTCGATTATCCAGACTAACTGGGGATGAAGGTAGTCCGGATAAGGAAAAATTCGGATAATCGAAACAAATACTGTATTTTAATAATAATACAACACGTTTTCTTTTCGATGACATATCGGTAATATTAAAAGTAAATACTGTATTTAAATCGTGATCAAATTTTCAAGAAACAAACGTTCGTATTGAATTTGGTCTGCTACTGACCAGCGCTAACAGACTACCTATTGTTTAAAAAGCCCTCTGGTGGCTCAAAAAGACGGATTTTATAAAATAAAAAGCAGTTGAAACTGCCTTTTTATGAATAAAAATTTGGGAAACTATTTATCGTTATATGACGAGTAAAATTTTTTCGTCGCGTTTTCGGCTTTTAAGTAATGCATAAACCTTCGAGGTGCGAGGCCCTTCGGACCGCGAGGCACAGGCGGTGGCCCACATTGCCCATGTCTTACGTCGCCCTTGGTCATAGAAATAATGTAATTTGAATATAAATTATTTATAAATACGTATGTCAAGTTATATTTTTATTACGACGCAAAATATATTTAAGAGTTTACTGCCATTGTGCTGGGCGAAACATTGTTGAAATAAAAGAAATTATGCATCCATTACGTACATAACAGTAATGTAATTCGCCAAGCGAAAATCAGCAAATTCGTGAAATTTTTGTTTATTTTGAATCCAGATAATGAAAAATCCGGATAATAGAGGACCGGATAATCGAGGTTCTACTGTATTTGAACATTCGGAAATTAGTATGCTTCTTAAAATTTTAATGCCATGAAATACGCACGAAGTTTAGATAAAGTCGAAAAAGTAGTAGAAGTGATTTTCGCCAAAAAATTTGTTGTAAACAAAAAGAAATCAACAAAGAGTCGCGTGACTTTCCTGGCGAGATTCACCAAGAAATACTAGAAAAAATTGAAATTGTCTGTGGCACCATCTGTTATGAGTTTGCTTAAAAAATAAGTTTAATGTTATTAATTATTATAAAAGTGAAATTTGCGTAATTTTGAAAGTAGAAATGAATTTTATTTAAAAATATTATAAATGTTAGTTAATAACAGATGAAGTTCTCATTAAATCCCACCCCACTGGAGATATAACACATAGCTCCTGTATGTCCTCACTTCCTATATATTTATCTACCAAAATTTAATAGCATCAGTACCTCTTATACAAAAATCTCCCTACAAAATTTTAGAAATTTTTTGACAAAAAGAAAGAGTACACATTAAGCTTCAAACTGAGTGAACAAAATCGTGTCTCACCCCACATTAACCTGCATTACATGGAAATCACAAACTTTTGCATTCCTCGACGTTTCCAGCTCATCCTACTCCAAAAATGTACACGTATTGGGGGAGTTACTTTTTAACCAATCGCCATATTTTCCCTGAGTTACGAGTATAGGCTATATAAGTTCCCTCGTATATATAACAACCATGGAAAGTAATTATTTAGTAAAAGTTCCAATTATATTTACTATCGCATCTCTTCGGAATGTTAATTAAATCTGGATAATCGTTTTTCATCCTCAGTCATGAGTAAGGAATGAGAAATGTATATACTGTACCAGTATATAAATGAGGATGTTTGTTCGTTTGTTTGTTGGCTATCCACATCTAGGCCTTTCGACCAATTGCTACGAGGCAGTTACATTTACTTACTTCCAACTTAGGTAACGTCGTGCAGTTCATTTTATTCTAAAATATAGATTGGATTTCTATATATCAATTATGTTTTATTTTCATACAATTCGATGTCTTTACACGTATTGCCATCTATTAGCAAAGATTTAACAAAATAATAAATTAAATATAATAAAATAAGAAAAAACATTATAATTTTTAAAAATATATCATCGGTGATAGATCGAGAAGAAATTCGGTGATAACATCGTAATCACCGAATTTCTGTGACAATGATATAGCGCGAAACAGACGTCATTACGTTACGTCATTACTATAACAGGTAGCACATAGCACTTGCCTGCTTGGAATAAAACCACTGAACACAGTTAGTTAGTTATGGGTTGGGGAATGACCAACTGAATCATCAGGTAGTGTTTTCCGGGTTTTCTTCACGTTAGTAACAACTATTCTTCACGTTAGTAACAACTAAATAAGGTCCAGTTAACCATGAAAATCTTTCCGAGATGCATTCTCCTCGGCAGATCGTTCACTTGTAACGAAACTAATTCTAACGAGTGATTATTTATTGTTTATTTTTTAAAATAAAATATGTATTCAGGGTAATGTGGAATTAATTTTCTTTTATTTATAGAAAAATGAATGTATGAAATTATTGAGAGTATATGAAAATTGTGTGTAAGAGAATGTGTTTCCCAAATAATGACATTTTAAAGTCGCATTAACATGGAGATTTTGTTAAGTACTATTTATTAATAGTACTGTATATGTTAGTGTGAAAGACCGAAATTAGTGAATGTCGATACAAAACACATAAAAACACATATAAGTGGTTTATCTGTAAATCTTTTATACTCGTAATTTTTAATCTAAAATGGCCGGGGCGTCCCGTTTTATCAGAGTTTTTGGTTACCCGAGGTAGCATCGGTCCACGTTAACCTCGGATAATAGGAATTCTACTGTATTTAAATTTCTCTTGGTAAGTCTGACTCAAACACAGTTTATACAGACAATTGTTAATTATGTATAATGAATACGAATAAGAGTACAATATACACGAATATCGATTACTATTATTACTAGTAATACTCCAGTAGATTAGTATTTGTTACGATCTGACTTTTCTTTAGATGATAAACTGGCTCTGAAAAGACCTTTTTGGTTGCTAATTTGTAAAAAATTAGCAAATATTTATAGCAGAATAAGAATTTCTAGCAAAAATTTCGTTTGGGCCGATCTTTCTTCTTCTTTCCTGTCTTGATTTTCTCTTAATGTTTTACACACAGCGACAAGAGCGTTTTTTCCAAATATTTCTACTCTTTAATCTACGTCCATTTTTCTTTTTCGAATCTTAACATTTCACTACAACACAAACTTTTGCTTCCTTAATTAATAATAAACGACGCTTTTAGCCCACGACTTTAATTTAGATAGAGTCGGATCGCCTAATAATAGGATTTTAACAATTTGGAGAGCTTATCGCCCCGAGGCCGACTGAAAAATACACCAGATCTTTTACAAAAAATTAGTCTTTAATAATCACTTTCAAATTTATTCAAGGATGCATTTCGGGTACAAGAACTTCTCGTCAGCTTATAAACACATAGCATACATATAATTATAACGTTAACCGATACAAAAGAATTTTTGATATATACAGTGCACCGTATTTACAATAATTAATGCAACCCGTACTAAAGAACTAAAAACTATCGAGCATACAAATGGTTTTATATATATTAATGCGATATATCACATTAGTAATAGGCTATATATAAAATATATATCATGCTCATAGGTTACATGTATAGAAATTTGTAATAAAATTCATAATGCGGTTATAATAAAATATTAATTTTAAGTAACTCGAAGTACGTTAAAATATAAAAATAATCGCGGAATATGTATTTATATTTTAGAAAATACGAGAGAAGAGGCTTTTTACAGCTTCCGCGGATTACGCGTCACTGCGTTTGGACTCGCCGACAGTTCCTACAAAAAATAAATGGCGTGGCCCCCACACGGTAGTGACTGACTGGACCCCAGTAGAGGGCTCGGTAGGTAGATGGCCCGGTAGGTAGATGGCCAGCGTGTATTTTTTGCTTTGCTTGGATTTCCTTGTGGTATATTGTTTTTGTTTTTGTTTTTAATGTCGTTCGTCATTGTAAAGTTTGTCGGTGTAATTCCTTTATTACTGT